CTATATAAATTACTCATATAAAATTCAAGAAAATAAATTTTTTCCATCATTTGCAATTTTATAGGATTTTGTGAGAATTTGTGCTAATTGTTTGCATTTCTGTGCATGTTTATTTTGTTAAAAATCATGAAAATGTCAAAAATATCATGCATGTGCATTTAGGATTCATTTTTACATTTTTAGGTTAATTAGTAAATTAGCTGCTTTATTAAAAAATAAAAATCACAAAATTGGCTTACTTTTGCATTTTAGCCTTTTGATTTTAAATTTGTAATTTCTCTTTTAATTAGGAGTAATTAATTGTCATAAATATTTTAGTAGTTGATCATTTTATTAATTATTTTTAGGAGTTATAATTTAAGAATTTGTTTAGGTTTTTAATTAATTAAAAAAGAAAAGAAAACAATTATAAAAGGAAGTAAAAGAGAAGGAAAATTGGGTATTTGATTCAAAGACCCGAAATTGGGCCAGGTCAGTAGAAAAACCCAAACCAACCCTTCTACCCGCCCAGGCCCGTTCCCTGATCCGGTCCAGTTCCCCCCTCCCCCCTACCTCATCAGTGAAACGATACCGTTTCACCTTAGAATCCCAGCCGTTGATCTCCATTGATCCAACGGTTGAGAACTAAGGTTCCCTAAGTATATTAGTGTTTGAACCCAGGTCCCCCCCTAGTCCAAACACCCTCAGTCTCTCATTCGTTCTCTAACCCTAGAACCCTAAAATCCGCCGCCCTAAATTCCTCCACCATCTCCACCGGCGGCGGACCACCCAATCAACCCCAAATTCCTTCTCCACAATCCCCACACCCCATGGAATATGAATCCAACACGAATTTCCCCAAAATCCTCACCCTTGTCTCCAAATCCCAAATCTAATGCCAAATTCGAAACGCTAATCTTGCTCCCTTTTCAGAGTTTAAGTAGTTTTCTGGGCTGATAATGGGTCGAAACTTATGCCATTCGACTGTTCTCCCTGAGAACAAACGATTACCATCGATTTTGACTCATTTCAGAGCTCACCGGCCCCATGCAAGACCAAAGACCGGCAAGTTTGTCAAGCGATGCTAGAATATGCTTTTCCTTTTGATTGTATGTCCGTTTATTCTTTTCCCATATCTCGTCAGTTCCACTTTAACTTTGTTTTACTTGTCTCCTGATTCTGGTTTCATTTTTTTTACCACTAGCTTGTTCATTTGTTTCTGCTATGTATTGTTCAAGTCAGTAGGTCAATTTCTTTTTGTTTTCTTTGATTAAATTAGAGTTCTGTTGGGTTGTTTAAAAGGTACCAATACGCCCAGTTTTACTGTGTTATTAGGTTCCCTTTCTTCTCTTCTCTTTCCTTCTTTAGCCAATCATAGTCTGAATAAATCAGTGGTGCTGGGTTCATCATTTTTAGGTTCTAATGGGTTAAGTTCATGTTTACAGTTAATTTGAGCCCCTTTTTGGTTTTGTTTGACTTGCTCATCTCTTCACTAATTTGAAACCATCTCTTGGGCTTGTGGCAATCTAGACCTGGGCATTAGAAGCCCACTCGTTTGGGCCCAGGTTTGGGAATCAGGTGGCCTGCATTGGTTTAGGCTAGGAAGGTTAATAACAGGAGTTCAAAGGGTAGTTTAGGGAGATTGGATAGAAAGAATCTTGCTTAACTAACTATGAAGCTTTCAGGAAAGTGGGGAAGGGGCTGGTTTAACAAACAGGTTAAAAACTTGGGGTCTGAAGTGAATAGAGGAAAATCGGGGAAGGGGTAAATAGTGAAGGAATGAAATCAATTTTGCTGCCCTAAAATTTGTGTATAAAGGGCTCACTTCCTGCATTCTTCTGGGCAGAGATCAGAATACCAAAAACCAGAAACGACTGAAATATACACTCTGAAAAACACTCAAGTTTTCTACATTCTTTTGTTTGGAAATCGATTGAAATTGCTCTTTGATTTTTATTGTTGAAAGAGTTTAAAAGTCTCAAGGGATCTCTGCTTTGTCTGGGGGTTAAAAATGGTTTGAAAGAGCTGAATGTTGCTGGGTTAATGTGTTGACTTACTGCTGTTTGCTGAAATCCTCACTTTAATTTGTTTACTTTAACTTCCAGGTATTTCCTTGGCTTTTAAGTGACATATGAAGTGCAAGTCTGAAATGTGTAACCAAGTTGGAAGATTTGAGGATGAATCTCAATTTTTGTTGAATATCAATCTATGTTCTTTAGAGTTTCTTTTCTTGTCTATGTGTTAATTTCAGTGCTTTCATGTGTTTTCATTTAACCATGTTGATATTCCTATATTTCATCTTCAAAGTATATTTTAGGTTTTAGCTTATTATGTGATTGAGCTGAAGGCCTTTGTATTCGAACATTTAAAGGGTCTGAATATTTCTGTAGTGCATACTTAAGTCAGTAGGGAACATTATGTTGGTTTGGTTTAAATTTGCTTAAGTTGATGTTTAAATTTCAGTTCTAAACTAATGCATGGTATGATTACATGGCTTTAGGATTTGGTCTTAAGTTTGCATCGTTTTGAGGATTATAATTCAAGTAGGGGGTTACACGTTTGATAATCATTGCAAAATTAAACTGGTTAGGTACTGATTAGGATATGTGAATAATTAATTGGTGGTTTCGAATCCCTGGTGGATGTTGTCAGTAAAATATCTCAGAAAGATGTGCAGCATATTATTGGGATGTTGTAGTTTTGGAATATTGCATGTTATCTTATCATATGTTGATTAATATCATTGGGGACTTATTCAAGCCTGGCTGGTTTGTTTGTGCCAAGTTTGAGGCAGGGACTTGACCCAAATGGGGTCACCTGGACTATGGCTCTATCCTAGGCAGGCCTCAGCCATCCTCCTTCTCCCATTGGGCTCAATTTCAGGCCCAAGCCTCTTCAATTTTATTACCCCTCAAACAGCCCTCTTGAGAGGCGATTTGAGCTGGATCAGTTGGCCCGCCTAGCAATAGGCAACCTTATGCCCAGCCATGCACCTGGGCTCGTTTTGAGCCCAATGTTTGATAATTCACTGAGTTTAAGCCCAAAACCAATTGACTTTAAAGGTTCCGCACCCACCCCCAACTCTATTGCTAAAATTGTCATTTACTAAATACAAGACATTTACAAATAAGCATATTCTTTGGGCCTAATTAAACAAATTGAGGCGTGCCCTATCAAACAAGACCTATAATTTATGGCCCTCACATCGATATCTTAACTAGTGTAAAATGCCTTGAACTCTCGTAGTTTGCTTTAGGCGCGTTAATTAAATAAATTGTCATAGCTACGGGTACGGTTCCCGTGACGTAGTTGTGATGCTTAATTTCTAAAATCCGGCGGTACATTTATGTGACCCGGCCACAATTTAATCTTGTTAGTAAAATAAACACGCTATAGATCGTGGGTACGTTCCCGTGACATGATTCACAAACGTGTGATCAACAATTGGATAATTAGAAAGCGGTTTAAGAAAGAATAAGAAATGCACATAGGTTTCAAAGATGTTTTAAAATCAAATAAATAGGCCAATAATAACAGTTGAGCGACCGCGCTAAAACCACGGAACTCGGGAATGCTTAACACCTTCTCCCGGGTACACAGAATTCCTTACCCGGAATTCTATGTTTTGCGGACTGTAAAACAGAGTCAAAATTTCCTCGATTCGGGATTTAAACCGGTGACTTGGGACACCATAAATCATCCCAAGTGGCGAATCTGATTTTTAATTAAATAATTCCGTTTCGATTGTCACTTAAATTGGAAAAAAATCCCTTATACCCCTTCCGGGGGTAGGAAAAAGGAGGTGTGACAAGGAATGATAATGGTAGTGAGTTCTTTAGTAATGAGTTTAAATAATTGCTTTCCAATCTTGGTATATTTCATCAGAGTTCATGTGTCTACACACCTCAAGAAAATGGAACTGTTGAGAGAAGACACAAAACAATTCTAAACATGGCCAGGTCTCTCAAATTTCAAGCAGATTTACCTCTCAAGTTTTGGGGTGAGTGTGTTACCACAGCAGTCTACCTCATCAATAGACTACCCTCTAGAACACTTGGATACAAGTCACCATTTGAGTTTCTTTACTTACACCCTCCTTCTCTGCAACACTTAATGGTTTTTGGTTGTCTGTGCTATGCAGCATGCCCCAGCATTGTTGACAAGTTCTCATCAAGAGCCAATCCTGCTGTCTTCCTTGGCTACTCCTTTTCTCAAAAGGGCTATGTTTTGTATGACTTGAATGCTAAGTCTTTCTTTGTTAACAGAAATGTTGTTTTTCAGGAAGGCATTTTTCCTTTCAAGCATGTGTCATCTTCAGGTAGAACTACTTTTCCTATACTGGACGTACTATCACCAACTAGTGCAGATCCCAGGCTCTCTGCTGCAGACTCCTCACCTGAAGTTAGTCCTCCTTCACATGAGTCCAGTGCTAAATCTGAGGGGAGTCTTCTCCTGTGGCCACTCCTCACTACTCTCCCAATCCTGAAGGTGATATCATAGATAATGCAGCACCAAGTTATACTCCACTTGAGGTTGATCCTGATGTAGTAGCACCTAGTGCAGTGACTACCTCACCTGATGTTGTTCCTATTCAGGTCAGAAAATCCTCCAGGACCAGCGAACCTCCTATCTGGATGCAAGACTATGTGGGACAATCACAAGCTGCTCAGTGTTCCTATCCTATCTCTGCTTATGTCAGTTATTCTCACATCACTCCCTCATATAGTAGAGTATTGGCAGCTTATTCAGCTGGTTCTGAACCTTAGTCCTTTGCTGAGGCAGTTACAGATCCTCAATGGGTAGAGGCTATGAAGTTGGAGATTACATCACTAGAGGAAAACAAAACCTGGAGCATAGTTGATTTACCTCCTGGCAAAACTCCTATAGGTTGCAGATGGATATTCAAAATCAAGTACAATGCCTTAGGAGAGGTTGAAAGATACAAGGCCAGACTGGTTGCCAAAGGCTACAGTCAAAAGGAAGGTTTAGAATAGAGTGAAACCTTCTCCCCTGTGGCTAAAATGGTCACAGTCAGGTCCATTGTGGCCCTTGCTGCATCTCGGCATTGGATGATTTATCAGATGGATGTTCATAATGCATTTCTAAATGGTGATTTGGTTGAAGAAGTATATATGCACATTCCACAAGGGTTTGTAAGCCAGGGGGAGACTAAAAAGGTTTTCAAACTTCACAAGTCATTATATGGGTTTAAACAAGCACCAAGACAGTGGAATATGAAGTTGACAGAGGTACTTCTACAGATGGGGTTCAAACGGAGTCATTATGACTATTCATTGTTCATCAGAGAAGCCAATGGTGACACAATTATCATTCGTGTGTATGTGGATGACTTGCTGATCACAGGGAACAATGATAAGTCACTATATGACACCAGAATAGAGTTGCAGAAAAAGTTCAAGATGAAAGACTTAGGGGAGTTAAAAAGTTTCCTTGGAATTGAGTTTTCCATATCAAAGGAAAGAATTCTTATGTGTCAACGAATGTATGCACTTGAGTTGATTTCTGAAACAGGTTTAGGAGGAGCAACGCCTTCTGGTACACCATTGGAGTTGAATCAAAAACTCATATCTGTAGAGTATGACAAGTGCATTCAGAGTTCCAAACAAGAAGGGGATCAGGAGCTCAAAGATCCTAGCTGTTATCAGAGGCTTGTTGGAAGGTTGTTATATCTCGCCATGACCAGGCCAGACATTGCTTTTGCAGTGCAGGTTCTATGTCAGTATATGCATTGTCCCAAGGTGTCACACATGGAAGCTTCTCTCAAAGTAGTCAGATACATCAAACAAGGACCAGGTCTGGGGCTACTTATACCTGCAGAAAATGCAAACAAGATGGTTGCCTACTGTGACTCTGAGCGGGGATATTTTATAGAGTCGGGGAGATCAGTAACTGGATACTTGGTTAAGTTTGGAAATGCACTGGTGTCTTGGAAGTCAAAGAAGCAAATGACTGTGTCCAGAAGTTCAGCAGACGCTGAGTTCAGGAGTATGGCTTCATGTGCTGCAGAAGTCACCTAGATGATAGGGCTATTCAAGGTACTTGGAGTGAAGATTCAACAGCCGATAAGTTTGATATGTTACAGCGAGGCTACTATACAAATAGCAGCCAACCCTATCTTCCATGAAAGAACTAAATATTGACATTGGTTGTCATTTTGTTAGAGAAAAATATGTAAACGATTGCCGAAGACACAGTATGTGCATACTGAAGACCGGCTAGTAGATCTACTTACAAAGAGCTTGGGGAATTTTCAACATGATTAGCTGTTGAACCAATTAGGAGTGAAGAATGTGTATAAACCATCGGTTTGAGGGGAAGTGTTGACTAGAGTTAATGAACCAAGCTGATAAGTTAATTGTAGTTAACTATGTAACTATAGTTAGGAGTTAGTTAGTACATTAATTGGGAGTTAGTTATGCTGTAGAAGTATAAATATGCTGTACATCCTGTAAAAACACATGCTTGTATCATTTTCATTCTTCTTCTAATACAGAGATCTGTTTCTCTTGAGTCTGGCCTTCATCTACATGTCTTCTTCCTCAAGCTCGATCTCCAGATTATGGCAGCTAACATAGGGGCATTTTTTTTAATCTTTACTTTATACTTTAATTTAATATTTAATCAACTGATTAAAATTTTATTTGGGAACTTGTATAGTTTACCCTGTTTGGATCTACCCATGAATTATTCAGCTTTGTGAAAACGAACCTCATATTTTATGTGAGTCAGCTGACTTCGATCAGACCAGACCGCCCCAGAGATGAATGTGCCCACGAGGGCACCACTGAGTGCCAATCGATGAGATGTGCCTACGAAGGATTTAATGAAAAGAATCACGTCCATAAAGAGAAGAAAAGTGAAAACGTGCAACCAACCTTTCCTTCTCGTAATTGTGCGGACCTGTAAAGATCTCAAACGTGACAACAACTGATTAATTAGGTTAAGGAAAATATGAGGCTATTGTTCATCCTTCACATCCTGTTCAAGATGCTTATTCTCTATATTTTTTCGTAAAGCAGAAGTTTTTCAAAGTTACTCTTGGTCGAATCTAACAGAATTTTCTTATCAGCAGACCAATTCTTTTCAAAAGCAAATTGGCCTTCTTCGGTTTTGGCATTTCATATTCTAAAATAATTCGCCAATTTAGTGCTTTATTTGTCGTGTCAATCTTCCTGGAGAAAGAAAGAGAATGGTGGCTCCTTTCGCCCGGGGGACATCGCCGGAGAACAATGTCGGGGATAGAGTGAGAACCTTCCACTGGTTATGCTATTTTATACTTCAATGCCACACAAAAGGGAGGGAGGGGGTGATTTGTGTGGTGTCCAATTTTCGCGTGCACAGATTATAGAAGGACCTGGTTCTTCTATGTTTTCCTTAACCTACTATTGCGGAAATAATAAATGCGGAAAGTAAAGAACACAAGTATTTTTACGTGGAAAATACCCGGCTCAAAAGGTGAAAAAAAAAACGACCTACTACTCAGTAGGATTTTCCCAACACTTCAATAAATCACTGAGCCAAAACAATATTTACAAAAACTCTTTGTAAACCTAAGATTACCTCTAATCCCGTTGTAGCAACCAGCCTCTAACTGTTGAAACAACTTCAAGTTAACTCTAACTTGAATACTCAGAGTACCTAATACAGTTGCTTCTAGATAAAGCTGAAAGTTAGAAATTGAAAATACCTACTACAATTGAACTAGAATAAAAGACAGACACTTGGAACTGGTTCTTCTATCTGGTTCATGTAGCTTCAGGTTCGCACACTTGAATCACACAAGTATTGCTTGCAAAATGCCTTGCTATTTTTCTCTGAACTCACGTTTAACTTCAGTGTTTGTGCATCCCTGTAAAGTGAGAACATCCTGTAATTTATAGAGTTAGTAAAATAGGAAATAACTAGAGTCCCAATGCTATACTCTTCCCTGGTGGAAGAGTTTTAATTAACCTCAACTTCTAACTCATTCCTTATCTTGGATAGTTTTCTCTTTGAGTAAGGAGTCCTTCTCCTTATTAATTATGCAACCTTTTTTATCAGGAGAAATCAGATAAAATAAGTTAAGCTTATCTCCCTCCCGTGTATCCCTTATGCTTGAATCTGCCAGTGTCTTTGTACACTGTGGAGGAACCTGGTTCATGCTTGAGTTCCTCTGTCAATCTTCAAAACCAACTTCACTTGGGCCAACAAATTCCCCCTTTTTGATGAGGACAAACTCTGTGCTTTTCATAAGTGTATGCCCTGTTTCAATTCAGCTCAACATCAATACAAAGTTAGAACATTACTTTTTTCAAGTCACTAGTCATCGAGGACCAGGTTCATTAGGTTATAAATATCACAGCCAAAGTAAAAGCACAACCTAATTCCCCCTTTTGGAATCATCGAAAAGTTGAATAATTATGTAAGATAACCAAACCAGTTCTTTATCATCAAAGTTCACTATTACCCCCTTGACCACATTGCCGACCCTACCATTTTTGATCTCATAATTCTCCATGAACTCCACAATCTGTAACACCCCGTAAATTTGAGTCAGTTGTGGATGCACTAAACGAGTATTAATGTGATGGTTATCAATTGATTAGGATAATAATCGTACGAGGCATATCATAAGTGATTTGGGGTCCAAGGAAAGACCTAAGTCTAAGCCAAGTTGGAAAATTACATGATAGACTAAAATTCTAAATGAGCACGCACAAGACTATACTTTGGACGAGCATATCTATATTTATATAAGGTATTATGTGATTCACAACCTATCAAATGAAAGATCTTTGAGTTTAGTTTCTAACACCTCAAACCGTTCGTCATTTGGACATTCCTACAAGAAGTTATGACCAAATTACTAAAGACATACCACCCAGTTATTTTGGCGGACAGCGAAGCGAGCTCACTTCGCCAAAGTGGACGCGGATTTTTGTCTTCCCTTGAATGCAATGGACAGCGAAGCGAGGACACTTCACTAGAGTAGACGCGCCCCAGTCCCAGCTCTTTTAAGCCAATTTTAGGGTTCATTTTTCCCTATTTCTTTTGGACGAGTTTTGGGGTCTTCTCCCACCCTCTCAAGACCTCCAACCCCTCCCATCTTCAAGGTAAGCCATCTCCATTAACTTGGCATGAAATTCCATCATTCTTACACTAATATTGATGAAATCTACTCATAAAACACATAGATCTTCAAGAAATTCCTTCAAGAACTCAAAGGAGGGTTTTGCTAGATTTCTTCCAAAAGGTAATCCTACACCCTTAGACTTACATGTATGAATTTATTATGGGTATATGGGTGTGAATTAAGTATTGGGACTCTTGGTGTGGTGATTAGAAGCTATAAGTTCCTAATATAAATACACAACTATTATACAGATTGAAAGATGTTTATTTAATGGAACTTTATTGGTTAAGGGTGTTGTTTACCTTATGGGTGACAAAGAATAATATTGATTATAACCATTTGAGACTTTAGCATTTATCCAAGAGCCAGAGAATCGGTTATTGGGTGTAGAAATACCATTAATAGGGATAATAAAGCTTTATACTCACCAAGTGTTTGATAAAATGCCTAAGTGACCAAAACATGGATATTGTTGCTAATTTGGAATCCCTTTAAATTGTATTGATATAGATTAAAGTTGAAAGGGTTGGCGAATGTTGTATTATGCTCAAGAGAAGGAAGTTAAGGTATGTGAGGCTAACTCTCTATGTTTGGGAATGTTAATGATTCTCCCTACATTACGTTTCTTTTATGACATATCAATTGCCTCAGAAATATAGTTAAGGCCTAGTCCCTTGAATAGTTGTAGAACTTCTTTTCTCTAGTTTCATAACTCATTCATGACTTTCATTCTGAACGTTGTGAGCTCAGTTCGTATTCAATATAGACTTGGGCTTGATGTCCCTAAGTCTCAGTATAGCTTACTCTGCATGTCATAAACATTTGAAGTTCAGTGTTCATAACCAGTTCAAGAATACATGTCTCATTCTAGTCCTATACAGTATTCCAGTATTATGTATTGNTATGATTCAGCATTCCAGTATAATGTAACTCAGTGTGATCCAGTATTCCAGTATCATATAACTCAGCGTGATTCAGTATTTCACTATTATGTATTGCAGTATGATTCTCAGTTCCTGATTTTAAATCCCTGGATGTTGAACACCTATATTTGGGCCTGAGGCCGCAGCTAATGCTTTATGCATCTTTGGGCCTGAGGCTGCAGTTTATGCTTTATGCATTTTGGACCTAAGGTCGCAGTTATGTATACGTATAATTGGGCCCGAGGCCGCAGCTTGTGCACATATATATATATATATATATATATATATATATATATATATATATATATATATATATATATATAGGGCCCGAAGCCACAGTTTAATATTCAGATAAACAGGTTGTTCATCATTCAGAAGAGGGAGTATTCATATCCTTACTTCCTTTATTCAGTTCAGTTATCAGTTATCTTTTCAGTTATCAGTTCAATTATCAGTTATCAGTATCTTTTCAGTTATCTGTTCAGTTACCAGTTCTCACTTCAGTTTCAGTTTCAATAGTTATCATTTCAGTTATCAGCTTAGTTTCAGTTTCAGTATTTATAATTCTTTCTTTCATTTGCTTTACATACTAGTACAATTTAAATGTACTGACGTCCCTTTTGCTGGGGACCTGCATCTCATGATGCAGGTAATGATTTACAGGTTGACGATGCGGAGCGCTAGGATTCTCGTACCAGCTATTTGGTGATCCCCAGTTCTTTCGGGGCATTATCATTACTTTATAGTCTTTCAGTGGTTACAGATATACAGTGTTTTCAGTACTTCAATAGAGGCTTCATAGACTAGAGTAACAGTTAGACAGAGTCTCAGACTTTTCATGTTAAGCCATGTTGGCTACAAATATATTCCAAAATTGTATTAGTATTTCCGCACTTTGATTTATATCATCCAGACTTTCAGTATATCAGCATGTGGTAGTTTATCTTCCGTATTCAGTATGTTATGATACCACATGTTGATT